TTGCACAAAAAAAATGTCACATTGAGAACCAGAAATAATATGCATGCAATCAGGGAAAAATAATCACCTGAAGAATGTCAGCAAAACTCTTCCTCCTCACACCAAGACTCCCACCAGTCATTCTGACCAAACCATCAGTGGTCCGGTCAATCCACTGTGCAGAATTCTGCCCAGAAAGATTTCGGCTGCTGGATTTCCTCAGTTCCATCAGATCATTTTCTGCTTGTTGCACTGAAACTCCAGGCTGCATTGAAAATAATGATGCACTATTACCATTCGCACCCAACTTCTTCCTCCAGTCTCCAAATCCCTCAAATGAAGACCCACCGGCCTGAAACCTTTGAGCAACACGCCAATCTTCTTTTGACACCAATGGTGGGGGCAGCCTTGGATTGTTATTTTCATGTGAGTAATAATACGAAAGATAAGAAGGATGTGAACGAAGCTCATCTTCAGTCAAAAGTCCACCATTATTACTGCTCCTACAATTGATTAACCCGATATCAGAGTTCCTTAAAAGACCACCAACAGCGCTGAGAGACCCCTCCACTGTTGGAGGAGCACTTCCACTCCGAAAAATATTGAGATCCCTCTCTTGATAAATTAACTGTGGATTGCGCTGCTCTTGAAGTATCCTTTCAAGCTCACTCTTCAATGTATCTTCAATATTCCTATTAGGCAAAGGTTGCAAACCCTCTGTTTTCATATTTACATTACTCCCACCAGCCATCTCCAAACTAGAAGTTACACAGAAATAGCAGCAAAAATACGTAAGTAAACAAAAAGTAATATTAACTATAGAAGGACACGTAAAATTAAGCACATGCCATGATCATCAGTTCCATTGCAATAAAATTAAAGGAATCCATTTAACATTGAAAGAGAGTAAGGATGACAGTTCACTCTTTTCTGTAGCCCGGTAAATTGAAATAAATTCCACCTAGAACAAACACAACAATCAACATATCCCTGTACTGGCACAAGCTCAAAATTGATAACCTAATTTCTAGCATTCTGTTTCTTCCTTCGTCTACCTACTCTTTAACTCGGCGTCAGAACAGGGCGCAATCAATCGACAAATTGTAATAACGAGGAAAAACGGAATACTATACCGTAGACTCCACACCTCAAAAAGCGAATCTTCACATCAATACGAACAAACCCATAGCCTGATCCTTCTGAAACCAAATAGAGAAAGCCACTCTTAGATAAGACACCAAGAAAAAAAAAACACATCAAGAAGCTCACATTTATCATCAAATGCATCGGTTTTGCATATAATTTAAGAAAATCACGACAAGAATTAAAAGGTGAATATTAATAAAGTCACATTTACCTTACATGTACGGAGAGGAAGCTGAAAAACAACCCAGCTGCGTTTCTTTCCCTCTCCTCTCTCTCTGTCTCGTTCGAAGGCGGAAGATTCGGGAGAGAATGGAGACTACAGTTCGTGATGGAAGAATTTCAGAGCAGGAATAGGAATGTGACAGAGAAGGAGGAGAAGGGATGAGATCGCGTGGGCCTGAGATTCTTGTTCATCGTGTTTAGGCCTTCAAAACGGTCGCTTTTGCAGGTAGGAGGAGCAGGAAGAATGAGGACCGTCGGATCCGAAACGGACGGCGATGGAGGGAAGCGGGTACGTGCGTGGGCTTTTCACAGTAACATTGAAGGATTCATTGGGCTTCGGGATTTCAGCCTCAGATTAAGGCAGTGATTTGATTGGATGATTAAAGTATGACCTTGTCCAACATCACCAACATTAAAAATAGGAAACCAGCAAAACGAGGAAATCATATTTATTTCTCACCAAAAACATTATATTATATTACCTCTAATTTTTAATATAAGAACTCGTTTAATTTTTATTTTAATTCTAAATATAAAATCTTTATCTATTTTATCTCTTATATCTATTTATTTTTTTTAAAGTAGTTCTTATAATAATAGTAATTCTAACCAATAAACTTGATTAGTAAAGATATTTTAGGAAAGATAACACCAATTTGTAACAAATAACTAATTTAATTATTTTTTTAATCTATATAAGTTAATCAATTAGCTTGTATATTAAGAACTAGAGATAATATTATATAAAAACAATCAGGAGAATCACTATCTGGTCCTAAAAGAAAGGGATTTAATTACCTAAAAGTTCAATATCAATTGAAAAACATGAACTGATTGGTTATAGTGCAGAAAATGACAGTACATATGTTGCTCACTTGTTTTGTGGTAATGCTTGATTTGTGGATATATTTTTTAGCCTTTATTGGCGAAAAATCATCAGGTTTTAGCAGAGTAAGAAATATTCTAGCACAAAATCAAAATATATAATATATTGTTTTTCTTCATTTAAGTGAAAAAGATATTTTTTTATTCTGTTTTTATCACATTCATTCTGCATACCGGCCTAAACGGGCAGTGATTCTGTGTTGTAAAGAGAGATCTTCCTAATTCTGCGGATCTGACGAGAAGTCTAAACGAATGAGAGTGGCTATCTGCAGCCGAGAGACAAAAAGGCTTCCGACAATTTGGGGAGAGAACCAAGCCTCTTCTGTGTGTGTGAAAGAGTGAGGTTCGGCAGTTTGATACAACCTCCGATCCTAATTATAAAAACCAGTTGACTAATTTGAAAAAATTAAAAAATTAAATTGAGTTAGTTATTTGTTCTAAATAGGTGTTGTTTTTTCTAAAATATCCTTGCTAATCAAGAATACTAACTAGAACTATAATTATTAGAATGACTCTCTTGGGAAAAAATTGAGTAAATATGAGAGACAAAGTGGATTGGAGTCTTATATTTAGGACCAAAATAAAAATTAAACAGGATCTTATATTAAGGACCGGAGGCAGTATTAGGTAAGTTTAAAAGAAAGACCTCATTTCAAAAACAAAAAATTAGTTTATTGAATGGACACGTCGCTCAACTCAAAGAAATCATTTTTTTTTTGGTGAAATAAAGAAATCAATTTACTGCCAAAGGACGTGTGACCTAATAGTATTGATACTCCTTTATAAGTATGAGATCAGGTTTGATCCTACTTTTAACTTCAGGCTGTTCGTAGCTGCCTCATTAATTAAAAAAAAAAAAAACACATTTTACTGGAAGTTCCAGGTATTATACTCACTCTATTCAAGAGCCGACATTGTTAGTCAAAACTCTCTATGGCTAACCTTTTTATCAGCTTTTCAATGAAAGCATAAACACTTCAATATTACTAGCACAAACTAAAAGGAGAATCCATGATTAGTATAGAAAAATTTTCAAAACTTATAAATCATATTTTACTCATGCAGCTCAAAAACATAGAGAAGGTTGTGTTTGGCGCTGAAGGCTTCTAATGAGAAGGTTAAGCCGCTGATCAAGGCTTAGTGGCTGGGATTTAGGTACTAAAATTTCTGAGTTGGAAAAATATTTCGTGGGAAAATTGTTTATATGTATAATTAAAATTAAACTACTCATGGATGTAAATCACATTGTTCATCAACAGAATGCCTTTCAATTTGAGTATTGCATCCATGGATGATCCTCTACAAGCCTCAAGCCAAAACTTAAAAAACTTTATACAGCTAAAATTGATGAAAATGAGAATTTTAGGACTCAAGGATAGAGGCATAAGAGTAAATAAATATTAGAAAAAGTCCATTGAGGCATTAAAATTTATTCATACAGTCCTACTAACAGAAATTTAAAAATAACGTAAAGAATAATTGTCTGGAAATGTATATTGATTTTGAGTAAAAGTTAAAAAAAATTCTAAAAAATAAAATTATGATTAGCTTATTTTAAGATCATCAATTCTATAAATTATTAGTGCAATTTTTGAGGAGTTTTTGCTAATTTATATTATTTTCCATTGTAATACTCAGAAATTTAATAAGCCTGTCCCAATTCACTACTTGTACTTGAAGACACACCGCCGTAAAAGAATGAAAAGTGAAGAAGAATGCCCGATAAAACATAAAGGGTGTTTGGATAAGATCAAAACCATGATTTCAGAAGTGTTTTTACAGTATACGAAACAAATATGTAAAGAAAATTGTCTCAATTTATGAAAAAGTGCTTCTAAAAAGTGATTTTAAGGGCATCCAAACGCCCCCATAGAAAGAGATATAATGATAAGGAATCAGAAGACAGAACTGTCCCTGTAATTTAGTTTTTTTTTTTTTAAAAAAAAAAGGAAACGCATATCCCGCAATCTCTTCGCTACATCAAAGTCCGCACATCAATGAGACGGATTGCTGCATATCAGATGGAGGGTCAGGAATTCCCCAATTCCCAAAAGAAAAAGGATAAATAAAACAAAATACTACAAATAAGTAAATAAATAAATAAAACAAGAATTTAGCCAGAAAAAAAAAACAGCAAAACCACCATTTTCTTTCGCTATAATAGGCCAAAACAATATAAAGTCTATTTGGATTGACAGGAGAAAAAATAAATTATTTTTAATCTGATTTTTTAAAAAATTAGATCATATAATGTGATTTACGTTTAAATTAACTTTTTTATAAAAATTAACTTGTAAAGTAGAAAAGTTATTTAAATTATGATTGGATAAATAAGTTTAATTTATAGAATGACAAAAATAAATATGACTTCTATTGAATAATAAAAAATGATTAAAAATATAATAATTTTCAATTATTATAATAGGAAGAAGTTATATTTAACGAATAAAATATCTTTAAATTAGAAATCATAGTAGTGCCAACAATTTTTAACCAAATAACATTACATAATTAATTAGATGATATATTCTGCACAATTTACATAAATATAAAATTAAAAATAATATTAAAAATTAAAAATATTATAAAATATGTTAAAAATTATTTTCACTTAAAAGAATATTAAAAATAAATAACTAAAAATTGATTGGGAAGTACAAGGAATGTAAAAAGCATAAAAACAATATAAATATAAAGGTAAAAATGTCTTTTAATTTCAAAAAACTATTTTTGCATACCTTATAAGTAAGTTTTAGACGCTTTTATAATTGTACTTTAAAAAACAGCTTATGGCTCATAAGTTAAATTGGCAAAAACTGTTCTAAACAACTCTCAAATTTACAAACTGACTTATTACACTTATAAACTACACTATAACTGGTGGACCGCCCCACCAAACAGGGACATAAACATCAGATCGTGGCGTTCTACTTCTCTACTGCAACAACGTAGTAAACGCAAGGAGAAAGATTTGACCTTAAGACGGGTAAACCCCACTTGTCAGGACAAGATTTAGGGAGAAAACCCTACTTGTCAGGGACCAGATTTAGGAGGAGAAGTGGGACGAACCAAGCTGTTATTATGAGAACAAAAAATCCATATAAAAAATTGCCTGCTGCAATACTAACTCATTCAGTGCCCCCATCCTCAATCATCTGCCGAATTTCATTTATTACCAGATGCGCTTTATGCCCCCCAATGAGTTGACCTCGTTTCTCACCATTCATCCATAGCTGAAACAAATAGATTATTTACACTCTGGCCATAGAAGGATATAACAAGTTACAAAATAACTCCAATGGCCCTTACTTGTATGGTTGGCATTTTCTGCAAGCGTTGAGAAGCCGCAGGACACAAATTCATGGCAAGAAATACAATTAATTAGTTGAACCAAAAAGCAATAAGAATGATAAGAAACTAGAGCAAATATCTTAATGTACAGGTTCATACGGAAGGGTCATATAGAATAAAATCCAACCATCATATACAATGCATCGAAGAATGTGTCAAGTCATAAAGAGTTCAGAGCGGTCTTGCAAAAGTACAAAACGTTCCCTCACATTCCACTTAAGTATTCCATTAACTCCCAACACGCAACAATAGAACAGTTATTGTAGAACCATGGCAACTGATTTTGCCAGTTTTCATTCTTATGAGTGCACCCCCATTAAGAATGTTCTTGCTCAAACATTTTTGTAGAAGTAAAAGCCTTGAAAATTAGCATTAGTTAGACAAATAAACTTTTTTTGGTACAAAAAAATAAACTTGCCGTCACGCTCAACGCTAAACTTACAATGAGCTGACACCGGCCCTAGGCTTTCAGTTTGTATTCTTTCTGTTCCTAATTATAAGAGCCAATTTTCTTATTCACAGATACTATAAAAACACATTAGGTTAGTGGATGTCTAAAATATTTTTACTTCTTTCCAATTTTGCCCTCAATTAAATGTCATGATTTTCACAACTTGCAAATGCCTTTAAATTTTTTCAAGGAAGCGGGTCATGGGATTTAAATCATTCATTTAGAGCATATGTGGAAACATCTTTTAATTATTCCTAGAACCTTGTAAAATGTCTTATAATTAGGCACAACAAACCCATTAAAATTGGTTCTTATAATTAGGGACAAAGAATATTCTTTCTTTCTCATTCTCACATCCTTGTTTGTTTCAATAAAAATCCATATGGTAAGTTATAGGGTTAAGGCGCAAATTTCCCGTAAATTTCCAATCCGAAGCAATGTTGCCTTGAAAGTTTTTTTGGGTTCAAGGTTGCCTCATAAGAGTTAGAATAGAGCAATGTTACTCCTTACTGTTAAAAAATATTCATGGCCAGCTTTAGTTTTTTAATGAGGTGAGGCAACATTACTATGTTTTGAAACTTTCAGAGCAGCGTTCAACCCAAAAAAACTTCCAGGGCAACATTGGTCTTCAACAAAAATTTTCGGGCCAAATTTGCACCTTAACCCTAACTTGTACTATTACTTTCCCGTTTTCATATCCTTGTTCTGTTTCAATAAAAATCTATATGGCAACCTTTATTTACACGCACACATATAGAGTGACTAACACCAATGATGAGCAAGTGTAGCGGAACAGCTACCTATTACTCTAATCAACATTGCATTTGCATGTGCATGTGAGAAACACTAATAAAGATGTAACAGTATGTGTGTCAGAAAACTTGGTATGTCGCAGATAATTATTTCACCGTATAAATAACATGGTTTAAGATGGTGAATGACAGAATGCATCACAATTGCATTTGAAGGAAGCTACAAGGACTTACAGCGACACCTGCCCGTTCAACAAGTTTATGGCTAACTGTATTAACGTCAACATGGTAGAACCGCAATCTACACCAGGTGTATAAACATGTCATAATTCAGAGCTGATGAACCAGGTTAGATATTTCATTGCTTAATGTGCTTGAAAGTTATAACAGAAAGTGGGGTCGAACCCTGGGTAATACTCTGCTGCCAACTTTTCCAGTTGTGGTTTCAAATATATGCATTTTCTGCACCAATTAGCCATCCTGCAAAGTACAGCAACGTAAAATTGTGTCAAATCCCAGCTTGCTGACTTGGTCTTTCAGGGGGAAAAAATAAGAGAAATATAGCTTCCAGTCAAGTGAAATGAACAACAGAGTCATTCTAAGTGCTTATGAATATCATGAAATTCAAATCAATTTGACGAAGTAGGAACAAAGCCATCCTAAGTTACCAAATTATAAAACCAGATGGTTCTGATCAAATCCCGAAAGCTTCACGCAACAGAATTATTATATCAATTTCTAGCATAAAAAAGCTGTTATAAAATGGGAAGTGAAAAGTTCACCTGAACCAGGCAAAATGAAGTCATGCCAAGTCCACAGAAGAATATCTTTCTGTTAGATAACAAACTATTTACTGTACACTTATTTCTTAAATAATTCTGTTTAGTTAAGGCAATACATAACGTAAACACCTACGAAATCTTAAACCCCATTGAGGTCCAAAATCTTCAGATTAACAAAACAGTTACAAAATGGTAAATGAAAAATTCACCTGAACCAGACAAATTAGAGTTGTGCTAAACCAAAAAGAACATCTTTCTGAAAGATCACAGAACATTGGCCACACACCAGGTGAGGCCGGACATAAAGGGGCATGTTTTGCCCATATGTCGTTTTCCGTTCTTCAAATATCTAGAAAAATATCTAGTTTCAATTGCTGCTAGTCTACTACGCTGGCAAATTCTTCTCGAAACTTGTTCCAGGAAAAAAGGGGCAAAACAGAAGAGACAAAAGATACTGATAAGAAGGAAATCAAGATACTTCACCACACAAGCAAGCACAATAGGAAAGGTACCGATGAACCTTAACTGCTTAATCCATGACTAGGAGCACAAGCAAGCTTTATAAGCTATCCACCAAAATAGGTTGATGCTAAAGTTTTAATTGAAATGTAGAAGCCAATGAAAAAATCACCATCACCATTAATTTCTAAAATAGAAACCATAACGACCAGGAACCTACCAAACAATTACGACCGCATCGTCGGGCTTCTGAGCCTCTGTAATAACCCGATCGAACATGGTTTCGCTAGAAATGGGTTCGAGCTCAATGGAAATGGGCGATTCATCGAGCTCTTGCAAAGACCCTTCTTGCCGAAGAGAGACAAGTCTCTTCCCAAACCTGTGGATCCGACGAGAAGTGTAAACGGATGAAAAAGGCGATCCGCAGTCGAAAGACAGAGAGTTTAAAAATCGGACGGATATTTTACGGGAGGAATCAGAAGGGATTCTGATGGCTCTTAAAGATGTAGAAGATGGTAGATTCCAACAGCTTCCAACATTTCGTTAAGAGACTCAAGTCTCTGTGACAGGCAGAGAGACAAAGAGAGAGATTTGGCGGTTTGGTCCGGGGGACGAAACGGAGAGAAGGTTGTGCTTGGCGGCGAAGGCTTCCCAGTGAAGAGGTGAAGCCGTTGACGAAAGCTGTAGTGGCGGGGATTTTGGTAGGTGGGTCCTTAACAAAAGTTCAGAGTCGTAAAATATTTCGGGGTAAAATTGTTTATAAATAAAAAATAAAATTGAAACTAGCCATGGATCATGGATGTAAATCACATTATTTGTCAATAATGTCCTTTTCAATTTGAAAATTCTCTCCATGAATCATCCTCTTCAGGCCTCCAGCCAATATTAAGAAACTTTATACTATGGGAGGATGATTCAATTAAAAATGAAAACAGAGTAGGGAATGATTCATGGAGATGATTCTCAAATTAAAAATTAAATTTATGCCTAAGTCATTTTAATATCATTACTTGTTAATGCAATTGTTCGGAGTAGCTTTGAGAAAAATAACCAAAAAAAAAACTATTTGTTGAATTTTTAAAATGATAAATAGATAAAAATTTATAAAAATAGTTAATATCACTTATTTGTCATTTTAAAATTTAACAATTATTTTATGATGTTTTTTCTAATATTTACTGATATACTCCTATGAAGGGTACTGAGAGAAAATTTTTATATGATGTACAATTTTATCACTCTATTTATAATTGTGTTGACTTTGTTTATATGAAGTATAATATATATTAAATATGATTAAAGTTGAAAATTGTTAAATTTTAAATGAGAGTTAATAAAGTTTAAGGTTTTCTTATCTGTATAAAACATGTTAAAAGTGACCTATAAATAAAATCAGAAGAGAGACCGTATACTCATAATTTAACTTAAACCTGGCCCAATGGGAAAAGAATGAAATTGGAAAGTGGGGACACATGCCCCCCCCCAAAAAAAAAAAGCCTTTTTTTTAATGTGGTGATGTGAGATGTGAGCAACAGACAAAACTATCCCTCGTTAATTAAAAGAAAACATATGAAACGCATATGCGCACCCTCCTCGACATTAATTCGGGCCGTCTCTTGTTTTTTTGGCATGAAAATTAGAGGTTTCAAGTCCTTACGCAACAAACATCCTCAATGACCTCGATTTAAAAGCGGGATTGTTTTTTGGCCAATTAAAAATGGGAAAATTACCAATAAATGTCTCTTTAAAGAATTAATCGCTGCCTTCGGTGTGCTGATTATTTTTGTATGTGAAAGTATGTAATATTAAGGGGGAAAAAAAAGAAAATATATAATGTTAAATTCAGAAATCATTGGCAATTAATTCTCTGAATAAGTATTTATAGACAATTTTTCCTACAAAAAAATACTCCAAGATGATTCCCCTCCCATATCCGTTCTCTCAACAAAACTATTGATTTGCTTAGTCACACAAGTAATTTAAATTTTTACACGTAACTTTCCTTCTCATTTTTGTTTTCTTACTTAAATTTTAGAGTAAAATACTTTGACCTTCTTTCTATTTTGTGACTTTTTTGATAACATACATTTTAGTCCAAATCATTAACACCATTAAGAAATATTCTGAAAAGATTCTTTACATACATTTTTTAATTAAAAAAATATTAAAATAAACCTTGTTTCCTACTTTACCCCTCATTATTTTAAATATGTAGTTTATCTTTTAATATTAATATTTATTAATAATCTATTTAGTATTTTTACTAAATTTAATAAATTAAGACATAACTTTATAATTTTATTGAAAATACATATACACAATTACAAAACATTTTTACTAATATATATTTAAAAAATTACATCACAAGTAAGTTTAAATAAATAAACAAGATTTATTCTAAAATCAAAATTTGTATTTATAAAATTAATAAAATTTATACTATGGTAATCAATTCAATAATATAACAAAAAATATTAGAATATTTATTAAAATTATTTTTTAATTTCAAATAAAGATGTATGATATGTTATTAAATGATAATTATTAAGTAATATTTCTATTAAAAAGGGACAATTTGGTCAAAATAATTAGTCAACCTTATGATTTAATGGTCAACTAACGGATGGGTGGATGGTAGTTGAATATCAAAATTAGAAAGAAGGTTTGTGTAATATTATTTTGATTTCAAGGGAGGTCTTTGTAATTTAAGTTAAATAGTAGGGATGTTAATGTATTTTACTCTAAATTTTATCATTTAAATTATCCAAATTAGAACACAATATATATGCATAAAGTAACATTTTCAATAATAGCCAAAAGCCTTATAACCCAGTCGCATTAACGCTCTCCTGTAACTGGGGAGTCGTAAGTTTGACTGGCTTGTAATCTCGTACTGTTTGTAACTACCCATTTAATTAATTCTAAGGGAAAAAAATTCCAACAATCACGTGTCACAGTGCAGAAAACTAATATAAGATCCGACTAACTAGCAACAAATATTAATCTTTGGAATGAAATAAATACAGCTGTGTGTTTTGGATTAAAAAACAAAACAAAAACAATCTAAAAAAACCCTCTCAATGGTAATCTCATCTGGTCCTATAACTTGGACAAATGACAAAGTAGAAAGAACAACCAGCAACCAAAAAAACGATGCAGGACAGCCTCAGGCGAAGGAAACAAAATTGGTGGAAATTTATTAGAAAAAGACGATAAAGAAGCTCAATCATAATAAGAACAAGGATTTTGCGGAGTTGTGAAGCCATAAGAACTTCATTGTTTCAAGCTTTCAATAATCTTGGTGAGGGCCGAGTAGGATCCATAGGCAGATGATGCAACTCCTACTGTGATCACTGCAATGCAAAGTGATGCCTGCATGCCACTCAAAATGTTTAATTGCGTGGGACTTGTACAAAGATCAAGTGTTTGACATGTGTTAAACGTCATTAATATGCATTTGTTGAGAAAGTAGAGACAAATAATATGAGATAAAAGTCTTTTTTTTAAGTGATTTATGATGAAATTTTAATATTACTTCTCTTTCTATATCTTTTCTTAGTTATCTCTTTGAAGTACTTTAAAAGATCCGAGACTATTAGATTTTGGGTAAAATTCACTCCAAATAAAAGAAGAAAAGAAAGATAAGACTAGAAACTCCATCTTCTTGAGTAACTATAATTCTTGCATAATTCTATTCTGTTGCATGTGAGTAATCTAATCAAGCACTTCAAGTTCATTTCCTATTAGGCTAAATCACTCGTCACAGTTAATAAGGTTGTTGCATATTCTAATAGGCTTCGGATGGACTATGAAATGATAGAGAAGAACGATGAGTTGAATAGAGCAATATTATCAAAGAGTGGAATCACTGTACCTGAAGGCTTGAGACTCTGCCACGCAAGATTCTCAGGAAACAAGCACATGGAAGAATCAACGTCTGCCAACAACGTTAAGGATTACTTAACTGAGTGCTATGGTCAAAACCTCCAGGAAAAAGGACTAGCACCCAAAAAAAAATTTATGGGAACTTACAACAAGCATTGTGAGTAAAGAACCAATCAACGACATCACCAGACCTGCAACAAAGGAAATGCAGAAAACAATTCAAAAATTTACTAAGTTATTTGATAGAAACATGATGTGTGAAGGATTTTTTTTTTTTTTTAATGGCGTCAATAGAGTGGGGTTGTATCGTAAAGAATGTTCCCATGTCTTATTTCTTGCTGTTGAATATGATATCCTCCGCCAGATTAATTTTATCTCAAGTTTCTCCTGTAAAAGGGCCCAAGAATTCAAGAAGAACACTTGATACAAGATCAATAGGTATAGTTATTATTTCAGCCAAAAAAATTTCTTTATCAAGTACAGCTAAATACATGGTAATTAGTCTACTTCAACTTTATGGGATCACCTAGCTGAACAATCCACACAGCGACCTCAAGACGGGAAGTGTAAAAAGACCCTTATCGCTAGATCAAAATTTATAATCATTAGTTAAGCACAACTTGCTATTTTTTAAACTAAAAGCAAATTCAAACCCACTAATCTCTTTCAACTTTGTGGTGTTGCCCGACTGAACACGTTCCAGACCCTCCAGATCTTGATGTATCATAGATACAAGTCTATAAAAATATTAACCATATTTCACTGCAATTTGTTGGCTTTGTTTATAGTTCTATATTAAGAAGAAAGATAAAATTGCATGGACAATTCCCTTGAAAAAAACAGAGCAAGCAGGTGGGAAGAGGATGATGAAGACTAACCAAAGAAGGGAACTGAAAGACCAACAACGAGCGTAGAAACTACCAGTCCTGTTCTGATGAAGATGGAATATAGATAAGACTTAGCGTTGGTTGCCGGTATCAACTCCTCCAGACTCATTGCTACTGGAGATATAGTCAATGCATACGTGGTGCTAATTAAGATAAAACAAATTTATTTCTCACACAATAGGTGCTGATGAGAGCAAAATTACCAGAGCTAGAGTCCTTTTACTATGATGACTGAACTTGAATGCTTAGATTCCTTAAATCTATTTCAATAGCAACTCAAAATTCCTTTGTTATTTGTGGATCTAAAATATACGTCGGTATGAGTGCAAATATGTATGTATGCAAAGGATATTTGGTGAATGGATTGACCACCTGCAGAAGAAGAAATAACAGATATTACTGTAAGCAACTTGCATAGTTGAGTCTAATATGCTGTTCAGATATCACATTGCTAACTTCATACATGGAGTATTTACATTCCCTTAAATGAAATTTAAGAGGTAGTAAAAGCAAATCCAACAAGTCAAGTCTGATACATCACGCAAATATCGAAGAACTCATCATGGACTCTAGAATGAGCATACCGTAGTCCACACAGCAACCTTGGTGGCCACTAAATCTGGAGGCAAGTTAAGTGTGAACTGAGAAAGTGTAGCTTCACCAAACATTGTGTACCCCATAACAGCCACCCCAGCATACAACAAGGTACAAATACCAAAGCTGCAAAAAGAAAAACTTCATACTTTAGAAGCAGATAGATCCTTATATTCTAAGTATCTCCTTGTATTATGTTCTCAAAGAACTATACTAAACAAAAGAATTAAGCTATATTGTTAATATTATTCAACTTATAGGGAAAAAATTAGCAAAGAAATTTTGTCATCCCGTGCAGATAGGGTTTCGAGTTTCTCATGCTATTTGCTCCCACCCCCCCTCACCCACAAAATATTTCAGTTAATTCATGTTTGAAGATTAAAAAGAAAAAGAGTAAATTAAACAAACCTTTCCTAAATGTTCTTAAAATTACATAGAAATCTTCTCTATTTTCCAATAAGATACAAGTACCAGAGCGGCAAAAAAGAAATCTCCTCCATTATACCACAGGAGATTTCTGTTGTATCCCATAGGATAAATGGGAATGGCATTTATAAAAGATTTAATCATGAGTTCTCTACCCACAAAGGTCAACATTTTCTGTTTAAGTACCTCTTTCTATTATAAGAGCTTTAGTATTTTTAACTTATCATATGCTGGCTGGTATCATAGAGGAGATCTCTATTAAAAGTCCGTACCTATATCATGTTATCCCATCAAGATTTAGAGAAGATTCATATAATTTACTCAAAAAAGAAAACAATTGTTTAATTTTAATATGACTTGGTGGAGGACGTGCTGGGACATCAGTGTCTGGCACAGCTAAAAGTCGACAGCCTATGGTTTAAGGATACTAAAGTGAGTGTAGAAGTGTAGATTCGTAGTGTCAAAATTAAAAGTACCATTGCCTTACCATGCTAATAGCACTGCAGGGAATTGATTTGGATTTGCCATTGATGTATAGATATTTGGGAACACCGCATGTCCTGAATAACAGTAACCATATACACCCAAAGCAACAGGGAGACTCGCAAGATTCAATGGTGTTCCTTTGTGCTCAAAGCCAACTCCATCTACCAGCCCAATCCACAACAGGCAAAGAGACACCAAAATTGATGCAACAACTCCTCCAGCTAGACCAAGAACAAAGAACAGTGATAAAAGTCATTCAAAATTATATTAAGTGTTTGACTTCTAACTGGCAAAAACAAGAGGTGAAGTTCACACATGTTTTTAGAAGCTCTAAATATGGTTCATGGGTACTGATCATATTTAACTTCTAAGCACTACTTTTGATACAGGAAGCAATGTTTGAACATTAATGCAATGGATCAATCTAAAGTTTTAAATGCAGTAGAGGTAGTGGAGTGATAATAAGCCATAATTCTGTTTTAGATGTTTTCAGGGAGCTTAAATTTGCCCACAATATTGTTGAGACACATGAAAAGTTATGCCTGAAATGGGGACAAGGATAACGACGACGTTAGGCAGATATACATGAGGGCCTAACAAGTCCATAATATTCTGGAAACAGATCCGATATCTCCATTTTCCACAGAAACTAACAGTCAAATTTTCAGATTTCTGAGTCGGTGTTCCTTGGAGATACTCAAGGGAGCTGGAGAGGCCCTTGCTGGTAGGTTCACAAGCCATGGAGGCTTCACAATAAGAGGTATCACTCTTTGTATTTTGTTGATTTTGCTTCCCATTTTTTAAAATTTTGTCTAGACTAGTTTGGCTAAAGTTGGTGAGCCTTGATGTATTTCTTTTGCGATCCTAGACCTCAGAAGCGGATTCTAAGATTTTGAATGCATAGAAAGTTGCTTGATCCTCTTTAGGAAGTCATGTGACGTCCCACGAGTTCTTGTCTAGCGAGATTTTATATTTATTCTTGATCAGGATTTCTGTTTGGACAATAAGGTGGATTGGAAAGATCACTAGATGCTTTCTATAGTCTAGTGTAAGTATGCATCATGACTGAAAGAAATGAGCAGCAATCAATCACAGAGAACAATCTGTGTACTGTCTATTACGTTCTTTCATTACTCAATATTATCTGTCTTGATAGAAAAGTCGTTTTTCATCTATTTTTAGTCCCTTTACCTTTTATAGTCTAGCATTATGTGTCCAAACATGGTACAAGCCCAACTTGGGAGTATTTTGTCATTCAATGTTTGGGATTTTGACAGCAAAGGCTTCGGGTTGGTATTTGGTGAGATTTCTTTCAGGATTCAGAATTCAAATATTCTGAGGAGCGCCCCACATAATGCTTCTCAAAGCTCCAGCAAACCTATGGGGCTCTCAAACGGAAGACCAGAAAAGGGTATCATGAACTTTGAGATAAAAGAGACAAGGATTTATCATGTTTTCTGATAACGGATAATTAACTGGTAATGGGTTTCCTACCTGAGATGTAACTGAGAATACTTAGGTCACGGAGCCAAACAGTAGGAAGAACAGCCAAGGTGGTCAACAGTGCAAATAGAACATGTGAATTCAATTCAACACCACCCAAACTTAAGCTTGCATTTGGAAATAATGAAGACAAGTTATCGCTCTCCAGAATTATATACTCTATGCAACAAGCCTGCATGAATGAACTTTAAATATCTCAAATAATTGCTGCCAATACCAAAGATCTCAAAAAAGATGATGATTAGTTGTATGGACCACCGGTATGCAAATAGCAGCATCACAAAAGCCTTTTAGAATTCAGTAATTAAAACCGAAACAGACAACTGTGTGAAGATCCTTGTCTCTTATTGTTTATGACAAACTACCTGATAATTGTGCTACGAATGACAAAACATCTTAGGAAAGAAAGGCTTTTCTATTTAAAAATGGGAGGAAAAGTCCGACGTTATCACCAATTTGGAGGGGAAATCAAGTACTGAATAAAATCACCATTCTTTGAAAAATATTACACTCGTTTCCAACAAATCGTTTGCATGTTTTACTCTGATGGTTCATATGGTCATCATCAGCATCATGATCTTTTTAGCGGAAAAGAATAGTTCGCAAAAGCTTCACTTTTTTTTCAAGATATGAAGTATGGTAGCACTTGATACTAGCTTCAAAAACAGTCATGTATCAGAACTTGAGACGATTTTTTTACTTATTCCAAACATGTAGGAGAAGGGTACCCAAATTGATAGCCATTGAGTGAATTTCAACCTTTGTATTGTTATTTACATATGTGAGACTAAAATGGATGAGAATCCAAAAGAATACACGCTGAGAATGAAAGGGACTGTACTTACATATAGTTCCACGTACAGCACTATCTGCATCCACCATGGCAAAATGGAAAAAGCATAAACAACAGTACAACACATAAGAGAGACCACTTATTTTTAATATAAAAGATATTCACTCCCTCCCACTCCCCTTTTCTTTCAGGAAAAATGACAATAAATGTATAACTTATTCTTTGGCCAAAAAAATAATAGTTTATATTAATGACGGCTAAGAACCTTAAAAATTAAAATTCCTTCCAAGGACTATATAAACAAGTAAAATTCCTCCCTGAAGTTTCAACTTGATTTTCCAGATGTTAAAAAGTGATATAAGGACAAAATACATCTAGAAGTTAGTTCAGTTGAAAAGTTAGGAGGAAGTAGTTAAGGAAGGACCGACTTGAAGAATCGTCACTTGTGTAGCAATTTAGTAAGGAGGAGCCTGTCCTCTGCCCTCAGTAACCCAGGGGAGATTGGCCTCTGCTGTTAGCATATGTTGTGTCTCACCGAAAAAGTAGTTGAGGAAGAAGCTGACTCTGTTTTATCCTATGTAATCTATATAAAGCTGAAGCTAACGTCGAGTATGAGACTGATTATATGGAATTACAATAGCATGTTTCATTCTCTCTCCCCTCTTTTAATATCAAGACCTATGGTTCAGCAGGGACAGATATAGATTGTGGCTAATCAGGTTGTTGTTTTAGAGAACATGAGTGCTAATTTTAGAAAGTAACTTTGATTTTTAATGTTCTTATCTGTCAATAATTTCTAGGTCATTTACTGTTACCCTTTCTTTTTACAACGGGGCCACTGATTATTCCATATGTAACCCCCAGGTTAACAAGAATACAAAAGTAAAATCACATAAAATTAGAGACCACCAGGCAGACTTACTGAGATGGCAATACGTCCTGTAGTTCCAAAAGCAGCTTGGCCAACGTCAGGGTACGTTTCCAGCCCAGGTTCACTATCCAAGCAGGCACGCAAGAGGATCCCCGTGTAAAAGGAAAGAACTGCAAAAATTAATAAAATAGAAAGCCCAAGCCATCCACCTTCTTTGGCAGCATAAGGGGTGGAAAGGATTCCTACGCCGCAAAGAACATTTATGCCTGGAAAAGCCAAAATAAGAGAGACCACCATTCTTGGCTAGTTTAAAAGTGCATGGCATGTGATTTTAAAATGCGTCAGAATGTTTTGCACAGACCGCTGTATATGGGCCACCCTTTGAGTTCATACAATTGCACACTCATGTTCAACCTCCATACGTCATGTTTCACGCACACATAGTTCTCTTTTCAATAACTCAAATTTTAATGTCCGGTTTATGGTGACATGAAGCATAAAAGCTGTTTTACCAGATTGGTGATGAATAGTGCATTCAAGGGCAAAATTCTGCGGGGGTTTCAGTTAAAGATATTACGTGGAATATTACATATCTAATTTATCTTCTTTGTTGATTTTCTCGTCCTTTCTCAGTCGAGATTATTTATCCTTTATTCATTCAAAAGAAAGTGGGGTTTTTTAATTAAAAAAAAAATACTTACCATTAAGCACAGCTTGTCCATAAGAGCAATGGCGAGGAATTGGGACTTCATGAGAAACCTTTGCAGCATCCTTCTTAATCATAGACCTTCTAGAAGGAATAGGAGGAAGCAAAGTATGAGAGCTTCGCCTCTGTGGCTCATCAGCTGTGGGTTGTAACAGAGGTTTTGCAGAAGGTAGCGTTTCAGGAGTGTGCCTTCTTGTCAGAGATGTGGAAAGAAAGGAGCTGCTTAATCTGGACAGTGAGGGAGTGCCCAGAAATCCGATATTTGGTGACGGCACACTACTGTATAGATCCATTGACTGCCTGGAAAATTGATTACGATAGAAAAAGCCTTCAGGTTAACGCACTCAAAAGTGATAACAGGAAAGCAAATCTACCAGGATTCATGGTTCGCTTCATCCAAATCTAAAGTTCTTTTAATGGTAACCAGTTGATGCCAGTCAAAATTTCTCCATCCTCCCCATTCCACATTCAAGACATATATAACTTGTTTACAAGCAAATTTAGTCGCCAGAAATTTGAATGACTGACGTAGAATCAGTACATTGGCTAATACTAACTGAGAATATTGGCCCGGAAACTTCATATTTGATCCCCAAGAAGATGAACGCTACTTCCCCAGTTGGACAGATGAACAAAGGACATTTCATCTTGCACAAAAACGATTTAGCCGAGGCCATTAAGATATGAATAAAAAGCATGAACACACAGAAGACAAAGCGCATAAGGACATAGCAAAACCATTTTTCTGAGAGGATTGGAATTTTTCTACTTCCAGCTAAGAAGCAAAATTTATCCCACAACCGAAAAAATGGGGGAGACGACGGCATTAACCATTTTTCCATGAAATAGGATTTTAGTACTGAGTTTTGACATTTTCAGAAGGAAAAAGGAAAAATGGAAAATAAAAAAAATACAAGAATTCACTCAATGAAACAGCACAGAAATTTGCAAATCTAATGAAGGAATGAATGAGTTGACCTGTAACTCTGCGGCCATGAGACGTTATACGAACTGGGTTTGTTCGACTGCTGGTTTTCATTTGAAAAATTTGAAGAATCTGAATCATTGCCATCAGCATCAGCTTCTTCTTTGTTAAGCTCCTTTTCCTCATCTTCATCACTCTCGATGTAAAAGCTGTTATCTGAGACAGAGTTATTCATCATTTTCCTCCGATATGCACTCGTCAAAGCCCCCTGATTTTACGTATGCCTCGAATATATTCTTCTCGCCCACAATTCACCTTCATAAAATTACGATTCAATTTAGATGTCCCATAACTACTGAACGAACAGATATCTCGGGGTAGCGGAAAATCTTGCCAATGAAATTCAAAGAAAATCAATGAAAAAATATTCCACCATTATCTCAGCCGATTTTGTACTTTTCAAACGAGCTTAATGAGTTCAAATCATAACCCATTAAAAAAAAAAAACACCAAAATGGGAAGCGAAATTTCAAATTCCCACTTTGAACAAAGAAGGAAACTCACGTGGTTGTGACTCAAAGGAGTAGAAGTTTGAAATTATACTCCATAAAACTGGAGCTTCAGACCAAGCAAAGCACGTAAAGTAAGCATAAAGTTTGACATAATTTCTTGGAGACAAAATCCCAAGTATCATTGAGAAAGAAGAAATGAAAGAAAGTCTAAAGAAAAGCTAATGAGTAGGCGCCTTTTTGTTGCTTACTTCGAATTCTCTCTCTGAATTCTGGAGGGGATCAGAAGCAAAAGGATGAAAACACAGCACCCAGAAAAGAATGAAACAAGCTAAAGAGCTAAAGTGTTCTTCTTTGCTCCCTCACTTTCTCTATATTTATATGGCTGACGCGTCTGGCTCTTACACAGCTTTTTGGGGTCTGAACTCTGAACGTGAACAAACAAATAACGATGACACGAGGGAGGCTGGGGGGGGGAATTTATGTATATCTATTAGCTTGATTGATTATGATGATGATGGAAACGTCTGAGAGAAGATCGTGGCCGTACAATATTTTATTGTTATATTGATGATTGATCAGTAGCTGGCCACGGCGCCATGCTCGAGCTCATGCTCATGCTCATGCTGGCTTGATGGGTCCCTCGCTGTGTGTAGTGTTGGCAAGTAATAATGACGTGCATGGTGTTGAGACTTGAGAGAGACGGATGAGCCATGAGGATTATTGATATTCACAATTTACAAGATCCCAATCTTCCCAAAATTATCAGTCTTTAATTTTTGTAAGTATCACAAGTCCATAGGATTTTGTTTTGGGTACTTGATGTGATTTTTTTTTAATTTTTAAACGTGCTACCGTACCATCTTCGGTCCTAATTATAAGACATTGTTTATAGTCTGTAAATAAGGCCTTATAATTAGGATTAGAGGTAGTATATTTTAGAGTCTATGAAACAAAATATGTTATTTATAGCTAAATTAATGAGGGAAAAAATTAATTTCTCAGTTCTTGTAATTTAAATTCTAATTGTGCTTTTATAATTTTTTTTGGCTTAATCATTACGATTTCCTCAATTATAAATACTAGTTTCTATCCTCATAATATGTTATTAGAACTTATGCAAATGCTTATTAGGTGATATGTAAGTTGTCATAAAATACAACATAAAAAGGGTTTTTATAAAATAAAATGATGGAATGAAATTTATTTATTATTAAAATAAAAATAAAAAAATGTGCTAATAAATATCTCCTTACATCTCTACATAATTTAAAATATGGTTGATTTTGATTTTATGCAGATATATGTGACAAAATTAGTCCATGTGCGTGGTGAGTGAGAGTCATATCATCAGCTACTGACATCATTTCTCTTGTAAATTAACAAATTATGAACATATATCACCAAGAAAAAAACAAACTATGAACATATGGACTAACATCTATAATTGAGAAAATTGTAAGATCAAATAATGAGAAATTACAAAAATTTAATTAAAAATCAGATGAAATTATTAAGTACTTACAAATTACGAATTAATTTTCCCACATAATAATAATCCATACGTTACACAAATATATCTTAAATTGTTTATTTGGGCATTGCACTAATGCGTTTTAAATGTTGGCATGTGTGATTCACGAGTGCAGGATTTTGAGATGGTTTAAAATAATCATACAGATAAACAAAACACATACTCGCCAAAAAAATAAAAAAGGATAAAGAAAACACACGAGCTATGTATATATCAAAGTCTATCATCATCCTGTGAGATAAAAGCTTCCAAATTACTTATCTGAAATTTAATATAGGACCTAATTATTAAGTTGATATTAGTTTTAAATATAACACATATTTCTCATATTTATTAATTTTTTTTAAATCACCCATACTAATACTCCCTCAACCATAATTAGGCAGAAGATGAAGAAAGGATATTAAAGAAAATGATTATGGTGTTTTATAAAAAAAAAGTCATATTTCTTATAATTAATTAACTTACCTAACCTTCTTAATCTAATCAAATTAGTTAAATAGATCTTATATTCAAAATCGGAGGAATACATAATGATCAGTGATTAATTTATGAATAATATACATTTGTTGGCGTTTTTATATTATAGAGTGATGATGTGATATGCTTTGGGAAAAATTGATGTGATTTGCTGGTATAATTTTAAAGTTTCAGCCTACATTTCATCATTTAATGTTTATAGTGCAAGTGATGGCGACATCATGAGTAACCAGACCAAATCCCATAAAAGAAAAGTTTAAAAGGAACATGCATTTTGAAAAATGAATGTAACTATAAAGTAACAAATGATGTCACTTAATTAGTGTTAATATAAAAATAAATAAAATTTACGTCACACCCTATTATTTAAAAATCACAAGTAGCATAGCTTATTTTCTCAATCTTATGCTATATCCAAAATCCAATTCCAAGTTTTATATAATCACCCGAGAATACTTTAGACACCAAAAGTAAGATAAAATATTGGTAGAAGTAAAAAAAAAAAAAAATCTTCTCTTTGTGTGTGTGTGTGTGTAATTTGTAACATAAATCATACTGTTAAAATTCACCTCAATGATGATTCATCAAATTTATATGTTAATAACTCTATTGCATTAAATTATGTGTAATTTACATAAAAAAAACTTGCATTTACAGCTATATTAATTCCTTTTTTATTTAAATATGATCTCTTTTTAGAGTTATGCATAAATATTGGTGACCGTTAATTATTTAACTACTATCTCTGATTGTTTAATAATCAGTAAATGTTTTTCAGTAGCTTGATATATTAACAACAATAAGGTTGATCTACTAATAATTGATGGCATTAATCAACATTATATTGGAAAAAGCAAAATAAAGGTATGTCTTTTCTAGTAATGATATAGTAATTGCATATGAAAGTTGATGGAATTATTGATGGTAGGAGCGATAATAATTATTATTGGAGATTACAGCAATGAGAGTCCTCTGGAAATATGTAGAATTTGCTTTAATGTTTGAACTTCATGAACACCCCTTGTATAATTAATTAACTTACCTAACCTTCAAACTTTGAAGGATGAAATTGGCTTCTTCTTCTTCTTCTTTTTTTTTTGTCGGAAAAGGGATGGAATTGGTTTAAACTTTAACACACGCACATAGCACACACACACCATATTTAATTATTGTTATTGTTCCCTTCTTGAAATACTCCTCCGGTCCTTAATATAGGACCTAATTATTGAGTTAGTTTTGGTTCTAAATATAAGACCCATTTTTCATATTTATCAATTTTCTCTAAATTACCCCTATAGATACTCCATCAATCATAATCAAGTAGAAGAGAAAGATGGGGTATAAAGAGTATTTTAGAAAAATGTGTCACATTTTTTATAATTAACTAACTTACCTAACTTCCTAATCCTTAATCTAATCAAATTAGTTAAATGGGTCTTACATTAAGGACCGGAGGAGTATATACTTATAACATGAGTCTATGCTATTTTTTATTTATTTATTTTTTATATTTGTGCAGTAGTATGTCTATTTATTTTTTGGTTGACTTGTGTGAAAATAAATATGTTTGAAGCACCCAGTTAAAAAGAAAAAAAAAGGATTTGTTCATTGGCGCCCACACACACACATATTGGTAACAATTGGCAGATAACAAACTGTAAAAAATGGTGACGTCGATGTATTATACAATTTACTGTCATTAAATATCTTGCTTGAAAGTAGTTCATATGCAAAGGAGGTGTCTTCACCAATCAAGGCCTGCCAAATTCAGTCTCATCTATATTTATGTATACTATCAATTTTATGTAATTTTATATTATTTACTTATAAGTTATGAATAGTACAACTAAATTCAAACTTTATACTCTTATCCATTCCTATTATTATAAGTTTCATGTAACTAAATTATGCAAATCAAAAAATGGGTTAAAATTGATTGAAAATAATAAAAATGTGGGGGGGGGGGGAATGCAACTTATTTTCTCAAAACATTGTTATCTAATAATAGAGTGTGTGAGTGGAAGAAAGAACGGGTGAAAAAAAAGAAAGAGAAATACATATAATTATTAATGATAAAAGTAAAAAAATAATAATAATAAATATTGAGACATCTTTAAAGTGTGTCTTATAATTTATAAAGAACTAGTCCGTTGAAAAAATTGAAACTTATAAAAAGCAGGGAGGAGCATGCCAAACTCTCTAATGCATTTTTTCTATGATTCAAAAAAAATAAAAAAAAATTATGTATTTTTTATTTATTTTTTTATGGGATAAATTGAGAGGAACTATATGGGTGGAATGGATAGTGAGATTTTAAAAGGCAAACCCAAAGAAAAAGACCTAGCGGGATGATAATATATATATATATATATATATATATATAAAATATTAAATCTTAATGAATTCAGGTTATATTCTATATATAACTGAAAAATACATAGAATAGAAAAGCAAAAGAAAAATTAAAAAAAAGGTAAGCTCATTAGCATATAATAGGAGTGAGAAATTAAAAAAATGAATATTTTGAGTAGAATTTACACTTAATTATGAGTCATTAAATCCAGACTTCTTTAAGCAACGTCCCACAAAAAAATGTGATAAAAGTTTAAGCAACGTAGGTTAGCCAACTCATTCACTGAAAAAGCGGGCGAGTTTCCCGAAAACGCTAATAAAATATGGATTAGAGACCTGACCGCTTTCTTAATCACTTTCAGATCTTCAATCATTCAAAACAATAGGACGTTTCTGGCTCTCCACTTTCTATAATTGTGTGATGCTAATAAATTAAAAAGATCTTCATAGTGTTTTTTTAAAAAATGAAAACAACATGTATAATACTCCCTCCGTTCCTTATTATAAGAGACATTGATGCTCATGACATGTTCCTATATAAGAGACACTTACAAGTTGTCTCTACTTTTTTGTGTTGATTTACTATTTTACCCATATTTATTATCTCCAACTCACACTTTCTCTCCCTCCTACTTCTCTTTCTTTTAATAATTTAATTGTTCTCTCTCATGCTCTCTCTCCTTATTAATGAGGGCATTTTTGGAAAAAAAATTATACTTTTTACACATTAATTGTTTTTAACTAATTTTAACTGTTTTTTTTATCAACTTACTTCGGTTATTTGTCTCTTATAATAAGGAACGGAGGGAGTAATATGTTATTTTTATAAAAATAATAATATGTTTTTGGACTCCCCTGTTCTGATAATTTTTTTTATTTTTTCTCATTAAGAATAATCAATAAATGAAACCTTAATTGAAAATATATTAAATTGGTAATGAAAATATTCTCAATACTCTCTCCCGTTCAAAATATAAGTTAAATTTTATCCATTTACATTTATTAAGAAACTAGTTAAAATTAGTTTAAAACAATAAATATATAAGGCATATATT